ACCATAACACAAACTTTTAAACAATGAGAACAATAAACAAAATAAATGACAATAATTCGTATTAAATAAAATTAAGCATCATCTCAAACAACTTTTTTGTTTTATAAAATATAATTTTTTTAATATTTTATTAACATGTAATAGTACAGTAATATAAATAATTATTGACAAAATGTATATTGCAGATGTTAGCCACATTGGTAAGTTAGCTAAAAAGATAGCCATATTAGACAGTTATCATTGCCATTAATTGCCTCGTCAAACTACGAAAACGTTCGTTTGCCACAAAATAAATTACACTTGTTTGACTTAGATTTGAGGGCATGGGCTTGAGCATGATGTAATTATGTTATCTATCACATTCGCTAACCGGTCTGTCTTTACATTCTTTAAACAGCTCTGGATTCCGGTCGGCGAGGTGCTTAGCCAAGTGACAGTCTGATGTGTTGGCTCCCTTGGTTTGCAGGGATCTAAAACATCTCTTACAGACAGGTCTCGTGGTGTCCGTAGGCTTGCCCTCAGTCAGAGATATCGCTCAAATACTTCCACATTTCGCTTCTGGCGTCTTTTTTGTCAACAAGCCGAGGTGCAGCGGCAGCTGCACTCCCACTTGCAGCCATGCTTCTTGTTTTCTCACATGCTCTGGCAGCTAGCGCGTGGCCGCGTGCACGAGAGAGGGGAGGGACTTAGAGCGTGCTTGAGAGGGGCGGGGCTGCAGGCACGGCTGCAGTGCAGGGAGTGGAAGCAGAGCGCTGAACACACACGGCTCTTATTAAAACGGCACTTTCTCACCGGAGTACTTTTCCCCATCATTCTTAAAGTACCGATACTAATGAAACGGAGGAATCGTACCATTTTTAACGGCAGGGTATCACGGTACCTTTCAAGTATCGGTACACCGTGCAACACTAGTTACTATGCAAGGAAAAGTAATTTAAGTGGTTACCTGTTACAAATACCTTGGTATCTGGCTTGATGATTGTCTCTCTTTTAAACCTCAGGTCAATAATCTGCTTAAAAAGCTGAGGGTTAGACTAGGTTTCTTTTTCAGAAACAAGTCCCGTTTCTCGCTTGAGGCCAGGAAAAGGCTCTGTGACCTTTTTACCTGTGCTGGACTATGGTGATCTGATCTACATGAATGCACCTGCCCGACCTGATCAAGTTAGATGCCGCCTATCACAGTGCGCTGAGATTTGTTACTAACTGTAAAGCACTTACTCATCACAGTACCCTGTATGCCAGGGCAGGTCTGCCTTCACTAACTGTACGGAGGCTCAGTCATTGGTACATGTTCATCTACAAAGCCATGCTGGGTAAACTACCACCTTACATCTGCTCTCTGATCACATGATGTGTTTTTATTACATGTGCCAAGTGCTAGGACTGTTTTAGGTACTAAAGCTTTTATGTGCGCTGCTCCTCTAGCTTGGAACACTATGTATTTTTTTTTTTTTTTTTTAAACTGAGCATTTTGGTTCCCCTGCATCATTTTAAAGCTTGGATAGATGAAATGCTATTTGATACCTGTCATTGTGAATAGGTTGTAATTTGTACCCCTGTAATTATGTTGTATGATGTTTTCTGTTGTTTTCATGTGTAACCAAGCAGGTCTCCCTTGAAAAAGAGATCGTTGATCTCAATGGGATTTTACCTGGTTAAATAAAGGCTACAAACTAACAAACAATTGTTCATGTAAATCAGGCATCCTCAAACTACGGACTCTGGTCCGGATCCGGACCGAACCACCACTGTCTCCGGACTCTGAGCAAATTATACTTTTCATATGTATTATCTCTCTGTATTATATGTGAGACATCGCCACAACGCATTCGCAACAAGTCAACATTCTCCGCTATGTCCACTGCAAACAGCGCTCTGCATGTCTGACTGTTCCACTGTGTTCCACCTGTGTGTGTCAACGCTTTGGTCCAATCACATTCAGCATCCAGTCAGCGTTTTTCCCCCAAACAATCTGCGAATCAGAGGCACAGTAGGGCGGGTCTTCGCGGACTGCGGGTGGGAAAAATGTGTGTGTCTCTTTCAACCTGTCTAAGTCAGAGCGAGAATTAAAACAAAAAAAATTCAGAGCGAGAGTTAACAGCTCATCTAGTTCCATCTGTACTGTAGCTAGTAGCCTAGTTTCACCTACCGGGGTGGCAACTGACACCCTAAAAACAGGCCTTGCCACCCCAGCTGCCCAGCTTTGTTTTGAAAGAAAAGTTGTGGCTCATCGGACATTTATGAGAGAAAGTCTCTAATGTCCGAGTGCAAGTGAATGCAGCACAAGATGCACGTCATGTAACCCCTCCCCCGGTCCTGGCGCGAGCGTGGACATACGATTGGCGGCGATTTCATTTTGAACTGGACGGCGCAAAACGAGAAGCATTCGGACCCAAGCGCTGAAGGAATGAGGTATTTGCGGTCTACACTGACAGAGAAGAGACTGTCAGTGTGGCCGTACTCAGCATTGAATCAAAACGTACTAAAGCTGTTGATCTTAATACGTTTGTGAGGCGTTTTGCTGAACAAGATGGTAATCGCCGCATTCAGCTGTAATAGACATGTCAACTTGATGCTTTGCTCACGGATGAGTATACACAACTATTAAGATGATGACCTTACGTGTGTAAATATCTTTTTTTCTTTGAGGGGGTCTGCCCCCAAAAAACTGTTTTAAGTCCTGAGAAAGTCAAATAAGACGGTGTGTAAAACTACACTGCCCAGCCAAAAAAAAGTAACCACTTTGATTTAACTAGGCCAGTAGGTAAGGACTTTCCACTGGATAATAACTGAGTATAAAAGAATGCATGAGTGAAGTGATGGAGACCATGTTGAAGGCAAACAAAAAGAGGAAATAACAGGTCAAATCAAGCAAATCCCCTCTCAGATTCCACAGCAACCAGAAGAACAGAAATACTGGCTGGTGATTTGATTCATCAGCTTTGTGATGGAATAAAAAATGCACAGTGCATTTCCTTAGCTGTGGGTGAGTCCACTGACACCACTGACAATGCTCAGTTGCTGGTGTTTGTGAGTTTTTATGATGAGGCAAAGGGGGAGTTTGTTGAAGATGTGTTGGGCCTGACGAACCTCAGTGGACACACAAGGGGGAATACATTTATAAAGCAATAATGGGAATGCTGAATGAAAGAGGGTGCAGCTGCCTTTATTCATAACTGTGCAGCTCTTACACTGCGACTCTGAGGGGTCAAGCACAGACACAATAACAATGAAAACTGCTGCATTCAGATTATTTTTGTTTTTGCAACCTCGTGTTAAGAATCTTGTTGTAATTGTTTAAAAGTTTGAATGACCGTAATAAACGGACCTTTGTCTTATTGAAACATTTATTTTGGACCTTTAAGATTTGTATTTGAGTACCCCTGATGTAAATGGTCTGCAAAGGCTAAAATCTCCAAGATCCCTCCAGAGGGACTTTCTCTCCCACATGTGTGTAAAGAACATTTAATCACAATCCATCCAGTAGAGAGATAGAGTATTTCAGCTAGATACACACAAATGTAAACCTCACTGTGGTGCTAGAAACTAAGTCAGATAATCCCCAAGGTCAGAGTAATTCATGCTCCGAGGAACTGAGCAAGATTTAGTGCGATATTTGCTCAAAGTGTTAGACAGACCAACACTTTCAGGGCTTATATTGTTAAAAAAATAACCAACAAAAGTACCCTTTCCATTATCCAGGCTGCCAAAGGCAAAAAGATGGAGTTTTATGACGTGGTAAACCAGCGTATTCTCACATCAGAGAAACCAAGCGGACATCATGTAAGCTCCGTTCACATCAGTATCTGGGTACCATGTGTACTACGACTACAACACGAATACCACCATTTGAATCCTCACCTTTCAAAGTACTCAATTAAGCATGAACTTATTAATACTACAACACCACTAAATATACAAGTTATAATTGAAGTACAATGTGAACATATTTACTCGTAACAGTATCATAACTTGTTATGTTTGTATAAATATTTGTTTTATTCTATTCCATTCTATTTTATATTAAATTGGACATTTTACTTACTCGTGTTTGAAAAGTATGCTAATGTTTTATTAGCATATTTTACTTTAATTGGACACTTTACTTAAAACAATTTGTATTTTATTTTATCTTTTTATTGCACATTCTTATTTTAACTTCTTGTGTTCATATGAAAATGTGTATCCTTTTTTATTTGTCTTATTTATTTCATTCTCAAATGGAGTAACTGTCATAGAATGTATTTTCCATCGGGATGAATAAAGTGTTATGCTTCTGATTAGCCACACAACAAAACGGGCAAAGCTTTAATCTAAAATCGGGATAAATCAACGATATTATACATCTGAGATGTTAAGCTTTCAGCACATGACTCTTTTGGAAACTGAGCAATAAACACACTCATTTCAAACTCTAATCATGCTGTTTCGACAAATACTGTTGGGAAATCACCGTTATTAAATCTATGGATTATTTTATATCTTTCTAAAGGGGTTTTCTGTCCCTCTGTGAACTTATCTGAGTAGAAAATGTGACAAACATCTGACATTTGACCCTTCAGATTGAGCAAGAGCTGCGACATGTGACGGTGACACAGATCGAGTGTGACGCTGCTTCACGGTGTTAGAGGAAGTGAAAGAACTCAATCGAAATCTTGGATGGAAGATTTCTCTTTAGTAAAAAATATCTCAGTGTTTCTCAACGTCATGTGATGCTGGGTGATGCTGGGTAATTCAGGGTAATACAGCACAGCAACATAGGTTTTTTTTAGGCTAAAATGTGCGTGAATGTAAACAAACCTCCTTTCTTTTATTCCAACAACCCTGACAGAGTTAGACTTCTTCTTTCTTCCAGGTAATATCATATTAATAATTTAAGCTAGTTATTCTCATAGCTACCTTCATTTTGCCACAAGTAGTTCATTTAAAAATATGTTTTGTGTTGCACATCATCTCAGTGTTTCCCATATATTGATTTTATTTGTTATGAGGACACATACCTGGTGCAGCCTGGATCATGTTGAGCTCGCTGGTGATCAGAACCTCCAGGACCTGAACCAGAGGATCCAAACTCGAGTCAGACCTGAACAGAAACAGGAAATTCATATTTAAAATAGTCCCTCACAAGCATAAGGGTTTAGATTCATGGTCTTAACCTGGTCAGCCCTGAGCCTGTTTTTCAGGTCTCAGGCTCGAAAATGACATTCCCAGAACAAATGACCATATCTTCTAAAAAGGGGTAAATTAATCATATTTTTTCTCAAAGCAATGATAAACCTGTGAGTTGGATGTAGAAAAGTCAAAATCAATATAGATGTTTTTAATTTTAAAGTAAATTCAGATTGAACATAGTAAAGAAATGTAAATTATAGTGTCCCTCCAAAAAAAAAAACATTACTTATAGTGAAAACCACCTTTGAATGATGGGATAGGAGACTAAAAGCTTTAGGAATCCAAACTATAACATATAATAAGTACCCTGTATCAAGATTGATGCAAAACAAGTGACATTTGACCTTTTTAGAGAGGTTTAAAAAAAAAAAACACCTCTGGGGTCATTTTGATGGATTTGCCATATCTCTGGAACCCATTGGTCGATTTTGGTGATTGACACCTTTGTTGAACCGTTAGAGCCAATGGAATCGAGGGGAAGTTCCTAAATCCATCTAAACATTTCCATTGAGGAGTGAGAGTGATGCGCACGCAGTTTGCCCAAACCGAAAGCTATGTTACGCTCTGAAAACTAGGCTTATTGCCATAAATTGATAATGGATTATCAGTAATCATTTCAAAGGGACACAGAGCCATTGGATTGACCTTCTGCAGCATTTATATGCGTTTTAATGCCATTAAAACACAACTTTTGATCAGAAAACAGCAAAGGTAAGACGTTTTGGCCTGTAAAGTGAAGTTGTGTGTTGTCTTTGCCAGCTTTCGCTGCCACGAGTTTTGGTCGAACAGTGATGATACTTATACCATTGGAATCTGTCGAATCTCAGCTTTCATATGATATCTAGTTTGTGCAGATCCAATGAACTATACAATATTTCTACCGTGAGTTATGTGCTAAGTTCGTTAGCACTCTTTCGCTTAGTGCTAATTAGGGATGCTCCGATCGATCGGCCGCCGATCGATATCGGCCGATACTCACTCTCTGCCGATCAATCGGTGCTCTCTAAAAATGCCGATCGCGAGAGCCGATCGCATGAAGTAAAATGATGACGTAAAATACATGACACTTTTCTCTGTGTGCGGCAAAACAAGCTCGCCAAAATGGCTTAGCCGGTCTGGCAGTATTTTAAGGTGTCCGAAAATGACAGTGAAATAGCGGTATGCAACGTGTGTGAAGCAGAAATCCTGCAGCTCCACCCGCTGTGACGGACCGGTGAGCGGAGCAACACACACTAAGAGTTAGACCTAACACACTTAGCTATTTTATCTACCTCTGGAACAAGCTAAACTAGTTATACATATGTTTATTCTCCACTGTCGGGTCACTCAGTCATTACTGGATCAGTGAGCTGCATGAGACGATACTGACTGGCTGTCAGGAGAGGGAGAGAGAGAGGAAAAGAGAGCGGCTCCGCTCATCTCTCATGTCAACTTGAATAATGTACTTCATTTGAATGTAATAATTATGTTGGTTGTTGTTTGTGGAAGCGCCAGTGAATGAGCCCCATTAACTGAGTTGTAAACATCACTTTAAATGGAAGATTCCCATAGGCCCCGCCCACTCGATCGGATCGGCGATCAGTCGATACTGATTCTGGCGATTGGCCCCAAAATTGGCGATCGGAGCATCCCTAGTGCTAATTCAGAGGCTCGGCGTTAGACTTGTGTTTTGTTTCGGTAAAACTGGTTCATATCGTCAGGTAGCCGAGTTGTTTCCCGTTAAGTGGGTAGGACACATTCATAGTTTGGTAAATGATAAGAAGCCCTGAGACACAGTTTCTTGCAAGATGTTGCCGAACAGGTTAAGAAAGGTACAATGTGTAAGATATGGCCAGAAATTGTGTTTCAACTTAAAAACTACCATTATCAACAGAATGTGAAGAGGTTACCATTTTTTTTTTTCATGATGTCTATGTATAATTTGCAGCGATATCTAGTGAAATTAGCATGCTAACTCCCTAGCAATAGCCTGTACAGAACCACTTGACTTCATGTCACCACCGCAGCTACTGTTGGGCGTGATGACGTTTAGTCGTCCCATTGAGTCCCTTGCTAGGAACCGATGTAAAAGCTTTGGACATTCTTGAGTGTGGTATTTCCTGGTGCATTTTACATCGTATAACAAAACATAGAAAGTCCCAGGCATGTCAGGCATCTTCAGCAACCTGGAAGTTCTAAACTGTTAACTCTTTTCCAGCTTTAGGACTTTTTCCTCCCCCACTCTATAGCAATACTATAAAAAAAACCTGTGCAAATTACTGACCCTGCAGCCTGTCTGAACAGCGGGGGGCTGAAGCTCTCGGCCAGGCTGCGGGGGCTCAGCTGGTTCCTGGAGCTGTGCAGACAGAGGCGGGCCAGGTGCCGCACCACGCTGAGCAGCGTCAGACCGTACTGGGCGGGGCAGGCGGGCGAGCTGGACACCCCCCGCAGGACCTGGGCGCACTCCTCAAGGTCCCGCACCTCTGCAGACCAACACAATGAACTATTAACACACACCCACTTCAGGACTGTTGCAGTGAGACGGGACAGGGGGACGGGGACGGGGGACGGGGGGGGGCTTTACTCTCACCTTGCACTGCTTGGATCATTTCTGCCTGCAGCGAGGAGGGGAGGATGGGCCCGGGCAGATCCTGCAGGAACCGGAACACCCCGTCACACAGGGAGGACACCTCCAGCTGCTCCAGGTCTGAAAACAAACACACCTCGGGTTAAAAAGGTACAGGGATCCAGTGGTGTAAAGTAACCAAGTACATTAATCAAGTACTGTAGTTGGCGATATCATGTTTATGTAGCAATAATACATAAGACGTATATTTTTTACATGTCTCCAGTACCATAACGTCGGAGCTTAACGGTACCACGTTCTTTAATAATTCTGGCCCGGGGCCCGTTTGATACCGGGCTCGGTACCCATCCCTACATGGGGAGAGGCGCAGCATATTGCTAAGGACTGAATGTGATGGAGAGTTCTCATTATTCGCGGGCCAGGAATTTGTGGGCAGCTGTGCCGCTGGCTGTCGGTATACGTACTCTGTGTGTGTGTGTGTGTGTGTATTTCACGGGTTGCTAAATGTTTTGTGCGTGTGTGTTTATGTTGACAAGGAGGTTTAATAACTGTGTGCTACACAAAACGCGCAGTCAGTTTCATTTTCATCGCCGTTCGTAGTAGAGTTAGCAGGTTATTTTTATTTTAACTCTCGTCCCAAATTTGTCCCAACATTTTTTTTTTATCCTCCCCGACCCTATTTTCTTCGGCCCCAGGACGACGGGACGCCCTTAAGCTCGAGCCCTGTTCTTGTGGCGCATTTCCACTACAGCGCGGAGCTCGCTTTAAGCGTGCCGAGCCGTGCGGGGCCCGTTTTTGGTTGCGTTTCCACCTGGCGTAGTTCCGGCTAGCGGGTACTAGGGCTGAACGATATACCGTGTCATGGCGATAACCGCGATATGCGCATGCGCGATATTCACACCGCAGGGACGTGCGGTTTTATTCTTTTTTTTCTTTTTAAATGCTAACGCACTTTAGCACAGAATTCAAAATAAAGATACCATTATTACTAGGGGTGTAACGGTACACGTACCGAAATTATTCGGTACGGGCCCTTCGGTTCTGTACACGTTTGTACCGAAGTGTACCGAACGAATATAACGTTAAACGTAAACAATTGAGAATGTGAACAACTTCTTGGAAGTAATCTCAGGTGCTGCGTCGCAGCATTCAGAGTAATTTGCTCACATTGGGTTCAACGCGTCATAGAGCGAGCAAGTCATTTCATTGGACGAGAGGGATGCGTTCAAATGTAGTCAGTAATTTGAGGAACTGTCGAAATGGCGAACGCAGATAAAGTTGAGCTCGAAAATCCTCCAGCATCATTGAAGTCTCCGGTTTGGGAACATTTTGGTTTCGCAGTTACGTACAAGGATGACGGACAAAGACAGGTGGACCGAACCAAAGCTGTTTGTCGGCATTGTTCAACTAAAATTGGTTACGCGGCTGGCAATACATCAAACTTGCACACTCATTTGAAAAGGCATCACCCGGCCGAACGTGAATGTCACCGGTACCAAAAGAAAAAAGACTGAAGTGCAAACCCAACTCCCGCTAGCATTTAAGCCTCCACCACTCGCAAAGAGTTCAGACCGAGCCAAAGCTATTACAAACGCCAAATATCCTTATGTTGCCATGTTAGCAAAGCGCTACCTGGTTGTATCTGCTACCTCTGTCCCTAGCGAGAGGGTGTTCTCCACAGCAGGAGACATTGTTAGTGCCAGCAGATCTGCCCTTTCGGCAAGCAATGTGGACAAGTTCATTTTTCTTTAAAAAAAAACATGAAAATACAATGACAAGCAAGTCCTAATGTCAAACTGGCTGCTTACTAGTACAGTACAGTTCAAGTACAGATTGTTTCAGTTCATCGAAATGCTGCACCTTAATGTTTATTTTATTATATTTTGTATTTGAGTGAATATTCAGTTTAATAATAATTTAAAAAACCCAAAAAATATTTTATGTTTTGTGATAATTGTTTCTGCTGTACCGAAAACGTACCGAACCGAACCGTGACCTAAAAACCAAGGTACGTACCGAACCGAAATGTTTGTGAACCGTTACACCCCTACTTATTACTTATCGAAACTGCGCATACAATATACAGGGTTCTTACACCTTTTCCAAAGACAAATTTAAGCACTTTTCAAGCATTTTCAAGGTGCATTTTCCAGCTTTTCAAGCATCTTACAGCTGTTGTACATTACATATTTATATACACATAATCAAATGATTATTTCCCTACCTCACATTAAATCAGATGTTCTTTATGCTATAAACAACGAAATGTGTGTTTCGTGATAGCCTTCTACACGAGGATGAAAAATTAAAGAAAAGAAAACTAAGTTTAATATTTCAAAATTAGTGATCTGTACGTAGACTGGGCCTCCCATATAACCTGGCTGAGCCAATATAAAACATCAGCCAAAAACAATCAGCCTTTTCAATACATTATTGATTGGTGCTTTTAGGTTGGCAGTAAACATAAGTCAGAGGTACATGGTGTACTTTTCCTACACTACATGTATTTAATACCTTTAGTTACTTTACAGATCTGGATGAATGATGTGAAATATAATCAAGTTTTAAATCAGACTTTAGTTCCACCTGGAGTAAATTCACAAGCTACCCTGCAGTATACAAAGTCATTCAAACTAGCTGCACCTTCACCAGCTTTGAGAACACTTTCATGATCAATCATTATAAAACATATCATATATGGGCGGTTTTGGCGCAGTGGTCATCAGATCAAGGGGCGTTGGTGAACTCCAGTTCGAATCCCGTCTCGGCCGCCACTGCGTCAGGCCGTTGTGTCCTTGGGCAAGACACTTTACCCGCATTTGCTCCTGTGGGTAATGTCCGCAGTAATGACTCTTACATGTCTGATATGTGTAATGTGTAAAGCGCTTTGAGCACCTGTAAAAGCGCTCTAATACAAAAAATAATGCATCATTATTATTATTATTATTATATATATTATTCTGAAATGGACCAATCTGCACAATGACTACTTTTACTGTCTTTAACTATATTTTTGATGAGAATACTTTTCTACTTTTACTTGAGGAACATTTTGAATGCAGGACTTTTACTGTGACAGAGTATTACACTTCTACTTGTACTCAAGTACAAGATCTGAGTACTTATAATTTCACAACAAGATCTGAGTACTTATTCCACCTCTGGTAGAGTATTAGTCTGAATTGTAGCCACAAAATCACGCAGAGCTGCATAGAAATAGACTCACAATGGTAACAAGTGGAAAATAATATTTACAAATGTGTACAATGATTTGTAGGTAATTTTGACTACTCAAGACACCTGACTTATACATCTTCAAAGGAAGACTGTGTTCATTCTACAATTACATGGGATTAAAGCGAAATGTAGTTTTACTTGTATAATACTTCAATTTTATATAAAAGACAGTTTGTTTTAATCACATAAACAAAGTCTTGGCTTTCAGAATATATTTAACTTGTTTCGGCAAATTCAGATGATAAATACAACTTTGAAGCTTCGGCATAATTACAAGCGGAGAACGGACTAATGTAACATCACAGCAAGCATAACAACAGCCGGTGTTTCTTGTGAGAGTTTCCCCGGTACACAAACGCAAAAATACACAAACACACTCGCGAGCTTCCCCCAGACCAGTAATACAAACGAAAATGTGTCTTCGGGTCAATGTGACTGATTTCGATAGAGCAAGTCACATTTGGTTTAGGCACGAAACATACTACCAGTAGAAATACATTGCTTTCAAAATCGCTCTGTGTCGAATCAATAGATTATATTTCGTGACTATAACACGAAATGCCGTGAGTGCTTCATCCTCTGAACACCACAGGATGGCGACTGTAACGCACATAACATAGGTACGTTCCTCTGAAATGATTGTCCCCTGCAATTATTATTATCCCTCAATCGAGTTCGCTATTCAGCTTGCTAACGTTAGCTTAAACAAACGTAACATGCAACGTTAGCCTAATCTAAAATGCGTGCGTAAAACGGCGTACCTTTCATGTGGCTCGTCAGCGCAGACTCTCGCATCGTTATGTTGCAAACTTTGCAGGAGGCTACTCGTGGGCTTGACCCTCGTCTTAGCCATGGCTTGTATTTGTCTTCTGCTAGCCAACGCTCGTTGAAACTGCAACCGCCTGGCACACAGTGATCTATCACTCTCATCAGAATGCCCAGGTCACACGTAACACAAACACTTGCAGGTCGCGCGCATAGCGCGGGAAGGTGCAGCGGAGCTGTTTTATGTAGAAGCGAAGCAATTATTTTCTTTTAATCTAAAAAGCGAACTATTCAGTCAGACAGCAATTTATTATAAAAGTAAAGCATTTACATTTTCAAGCACTTTATCTCAATTTCAAGCACCATTCACAAAATTCAAGCACTTTCCCAACCTTGAAAACACCACGTCAAATTTCAAGCATTTTCAAGGATTTCAAGCACCCGTACGAACCCTGAATATATCCGATTAAAGCTGAGACTCCACAGATTATTTAAGTATAGTATCTAAGCGATCCGATCTCGCAACAGGGGAAGCAAACACAGACATCACAACACGTACCTTTTACGGAGCTTTTACGGGAGATCGTCTCACCGTAGCTGTCAATCTGATCAAAAGACGTGTTCAATGGCATTAAAACGAGAAAAAACGCGGCTGAATCGGTTGATCCATAGGTTGATAATGTATCTGTGGCTTTGAAGCAATTGTTTATAATCCATAATTCCATTTTTATGTAAAAATCGGAGCACAACAGTTAGCTGCTAATGGTAGCCAACAGAGTGTATGCAGCTTCCGGTTTTGGCTACGCGTTACTCTCACTCCTTATTTGGTAATGTGTGTACTGCGCTGGACTGCCACATTGCCAAGACCGGAAGCAGCAGACACTCTGGTGGCTACCATTAGCAGCTAACTTTTGCTCTGCGATTTTTACATAAAAATGGAATTATGGATTATAAATGAAATAATTTTTTTATACAGAGACGTTAAAAACCTATGGATTAACCGATTCAGCCGCGTTTTTTCTCGTTTTAATGCCATTGAACACGTCTTTTGATCAGATTGACAGCTACGGTGAGACATCTCCCCTAGAAGCTACGTAAAGGTACGTGTTGTGACGTCTGTGTTTGCTTCCCCTGTCCGAGTTCAGATCACTCAGTGATGATACTATATACCTAAATAATCTGTGGAACCTCAGATGTAATCGGATATATTGTATGTGCAGCTACGATAAGTAATAAGGGTACTTTTATCTTGAGTTCTGTGCCAAAGTGCGTTAGCATTTTTCGCTCAGGGGTCATTTAGATGCTTCTTATGAGACTTGTGTTTTGTTTTGGTAAAAATGGTTTGTATCGTCAGTTAGCTGAGATTATTTCGGTTAATCTGGTATAACACATTAATAGGTTCTTAAATATTAAGATCCCTTGAGACACAGTGTCGTGAAAAAAAAAGTAAAGTACCCGCCGGGACTTTGGGGCTTAACAGGTTAAAAAAAGCGCAATATATACCGCAGGGGGGGAAAAAAAATCGCGATGTCAGTTTTTTTCAATATCGTGCAGCCCTAGCGGGTCCTAATTCACAGTTTTTCTGGCCCCATAAAATCGAGGTTCTTTCCGGGCCAACAACCAGGCTGAGTTGGGCTGAGTATGCTAAACTAGAGAGAATCGCTGGCAAGGGGGCTACAACTACAACAAGATGAACATATTTGACCGTGATTTAATTGTAATACACGTTTCAAAATGATGCCGAAGTAACAACATACTGATACCGGTTAGTAAACACCATGAATTAATGCTTTGACAAGTCTGCAGACAGACGGCAGGCGAAAACCCTTTTAAAATGTGTGTTTTCTGAATGGAGATTGGCTAAGCTAACGCAGTATATGCTCCGACCGTCCACACTCACAACAACGGCCTATACAGACATAAATAAACCAGCGACTGTATTCGCCATGACACAGGCAGTCTGTGGTTTGTACTTGTTTAACTTTTGTCTAGTTTCTGAACAGATATGAGGAGCTGTGAGCTCTGAGGGCTAACAGCTAACGGCTGATGTTGTTTTTCTGTGGTTCACATTGAAGATGACGTCACGGCTCCGCCTACACTGCGTTACTATAGTTACTACCCCAGCTACTAAACTGTAATGGAAACGCAGCATAAAGTGAAAGGCCTAACCATACCGTACTAAGCCGAGCAAGGCCCTGCAATGGAAATGCGCCATAAGTAAAGTTCATATTCATTTTAAAACACCACAGCCGCTTTAATTCTCACACAAGCAGTGGCAAAAAGTCACTGAGCAGTAATGTGTCCTAATGGTGGAGAGGATGCCAATGTGCATGAAAGCTGTGACCAAATACTGATGTGTGAACTCGGAAAGTAAAACAGTTTAGTATTGTGGTGTTAAAAAAAGATACATTCATTTATTTTCTGTGTATTCTTTGAGATCTGAATCACCCGCATTCTTTTTTTTTTCATTTTCTAAAAATAAATTATCTTTTCTCTTAATTACAATATCTGTACTTGGAATTAAAAATAAATGTTGTCACTATTTAACAAAATAAAACTAAAAATTGTGTTTTAAGTAATACTTTCTACATACCTAAAACCAGACACACTGATCATTTTGCCGTGATCTCTTTATTTTCCTAAGCTGTAAATATATATACAATAAAATCACTTCAGAGAGATACAGAATAACGCAGACTGAGGTGTTGTCGTGTGGTTCGGGAGTATTTACTGAGATCACAGCTTCTACCATGTTTGATCTTTGTTGTGTGCCAATGCTGAATGTGCTCAGTGTGACTAACACTCTCTCGTTAACTAGTTCCTGTCTGCATTTTTACTCAAATAAAATGTTTATAGTCATAGAAATGTCAGTAAAAGAAGAAGACTCCTCACCAGCGTCGGACAGCTGCCGGGTGTCCAGACCCGCTCCAGTCAGACTGCGATACACACCGAGACTCTCCGCACCTGCAGCAACACACAGCAGATGTCAACAACACAAAGTAAACCGTGCCAAGTGAGGAATGAAAAAGGTTGGTGTGACAGAAAGAAAAAAAAAAGCTGGGTGTTTAGCCACGTTATACGCACAGTGGTAAATAGATAGGGGTATTGTTAGGATTTTATATTTACTGATACTGCTTATTGACCTGATGTTTTTCGACACTAATAGATATTACTCTCTAATTTGGTGCAAAAGTTAAAGACATGACATGGAAAGGTGTGAAAATATTTAACACCAGTTATTTTATTGTTACTTTTCTTGCAGAATAAGTGCAAGTACAGTTATTGAGTTTCCCAGAAGCAAACAGTGTTACAAGTATACGTTTATCAAGACATTACATACATTTTCCAAATTAGGACTCATTTATCTAGCGAGTAGTTAGAGGTTTGTGCTATGCTAGCTATGGGCTACTGAAGATACCTAAACGAACTAGACCCCACGGTAGTGAAGTGCTGTAAATCTTGGTGACAGCGCTGAGACACTTCCTGTTTCCCTTGTCAGAGACGGCAGGCTGCACTTAGGACGGAGGAGGTGTAGCGCTAACGTTAGCAGCCACTTTGTAAAAGCAGTCAAACACGCTGCATTGCTTCAGATTCAGAGAATGTTTCTGCTTTTCATGCATTTAGTACTTTAAATCATCCCTAGTGGGAAAATATACTAGATTTAAAAAATCCATTCAATTATTATTTTCTGACAAAACTCTGGGTCACCGTGTGAATCCAAGCCGACTGCAGGTGCTGTCCTCCATGACGGAGCGAGATACCAAGCTCATGGCAACAGAGGCAGCGAGTAGCAGATCAGCATTTTAAATATTGAGCTCTCATAGGCTTCAGATCATTGCAGGTCAACTTTTGCACTTTCTCCAGAATTTGAATCTGCTACATATATCCTGTGTGTCTGTGATGAATCGACAAGTTCTCACACAGTGATCATTTATTTCCTCTGAAAAGGGCTTTTGTTGGCGATCTACCAAGCCTAAATTAATTAATCAAGGCTATAATCGATAACTGTAAACTCACTAAGAGACACCACCGTTTTGAGCCCAAACAAGACATTTTCAATACCACAGTCTTCGGGTATTAACATGTTTCTGAGTATGTATGTATACATCTGAATGTGCGTTTGGTACCTTTGGTCTCTATGGCTTCCATCAGTCTGCTCAGGAGGGGGGGGGATGTGTCCGGGGGGCCAAACTGCTCAGCGAGGTCCGGCAACACTAAACCTAAAAACAAATACAATAAACACAAACTGTTCAATAGGCTGCATGACATTGAACACATTTGCAGTGCAGTTTGTGTGCAAGTTGACACTGCACAGACAATATATATGATTCAGTCCCTACTGTTCAACACAGTTTAGGTTGATGAGGTGAACACTTCTGCCTGTTTTCCAGTCAAGTCATTCAATTGGGCTTCCCTTTTCATTTATGTATTCAGACTATTTAAATGAATATGGAAAATATAGTAGTAGAGGGTGCTGCGTTTTGAATACAATTGTCATTCATCTATTTCTGTATGTTAAATAGGACATGTTCTGCTCATGTTCAGGTTCATATTTGTATTTAGTGTCTCTACTGTGACTTGTGATTGCAGTGACATTTAAATGCAGGCACATGCACAGATAGACCCCAAAGGGGGGCTTGTGCACCTGCCCTTTTGCCCTTATATTTAAATTAGGGCCGGGACTTTAACGCGTTAATTAAGATGAATTAATTACACAAAAATTAACGCATTTTAATGGCACTTATTTTTGCACCGCGGAACGTTTCTCACTGGATGAGTTTCAGGTGTACCGATTATACTGGAGCACAAACTAACGTTCATGACTTCAGACAACAACAAACCACAGTGAACAATAGTCAAACATGAACGAAGAAGCTGATGAGACCGCTTTGGTTGGCCCCGTGGATGGGAAATGTTGTTTTAAAAAACGGACGGATGGAAGCGTCGATAAGAGCACGGTTGTGTGCAAATTATGCAAAAAGGAATTCGCATATCACCGCAGCACATCAAGCCTCAAGTATCACCTCAATGCAAAACATATAGCAGCTAGCGTGGAAGCTAGCGTGGACGTTAGCCCGACTCTGAGTACAAGGACCCACACCCAACCCACACCCAACCAGATGACTGGTTTCAGGGCCAGGATAACTAAGTCCACGTCTGAAAAAATAACCAACTCCCTGGCTCACTGGATTGCACTCGACTGTAGACCACTTGGAGTGGTAGAAGATAAGGGGCTGCAAAAGGTACTACAGATTGCATCGTCTGACACAACATATGAGCTGCCATGCAGAAAGACAGTGACAAAAAGAATCCAGCAGCTTTATGACAATGAAAAGGAAGATAAAGAGAATTTATTGGAGAAAGCCGAATGTGTTGCCCTGACTGGGGATCATTGGACCTCGGTAAGCAATTCAAATTACCTCTGTGTGACGGCACACTTTATTGACATCAAGTGGCGTCTTCACTCATTTGCCTTGACCATCCAGAACACCACCACTAGGCACTTTGCTCAGTCTGTGGCAGAGGCCTGGGAAGTCACACAAAAAGTCACCACAATCGGAACAGACAGTGCCCGAACCATGACCGCTGCAATGAGACTGCTCACATTCCAGCACATGCCGTGTGTTGCTCACGTGTTGCAAAGGACCACCACAGTTTGCCTTGCTGACAGCGGGTTCACAGGCACATTGGCAAGATGTCGTAAGATAGTGGGGCATTTTAAACACAGCCCCTCAAACACAGAGGAACTGCACAAGGAGCAAACAGAACTAGAACAAGACAAAGAGCCACTGATACAGGATGTTTCCACAAGGTGGAATTCAACACTGTTTATGATCTCTCGTCTGCTGAAGAACCAAGAGGCTATGAAGGCTACTCTAGCCAAACAGAAGCACAAGCTCACCATGTTGACTACAGCAGAGTGGGACAGACTGCAGAGGCTCGAGACCCTCCTTAAACCATGCAGGTAAACACCCACCAACTGTTTTATTAATGGGATTCATTCATCATTGCTGTCCCTTGAAAAAGGTTGTGAATTGACTATGATAGTGCAGTATAAATTAAATTGCTTTTCCAAAATGTATTGTACTGAATATCAATATCACTATGACTATAGTATAAAGTTGCTACTGTTTTTAATCTACTATTAATTGGTACAATAATAAATCACTTTCCTAAACTATCCATATGTGACTGAACTCCTTGGGGGTGAGACTTATGTCTCGTGCTCTGTTGTGTTACCTGCTCTCCGCCACCTGACCCGCACCATGGAGGTCTCAGATGACGACCCAGCCTATGTGGTGAGGTTCAAGGCTGCCGTTAAAAAGGACCTGTCTCAACGCCAAGATGCACTCAACCATGGATGGCTCAGGGTGGCTACAGCACTCGATGGTCTTCTTTGTTTTTCTCTTTTCTTGCTTTTTGACCTCCTTTCCCCTGCCCCCCCCCCTCTTTTTCCCTCCCCCCTCTTTCTTTCTAAGGAATAACAATATGATGGGAACCATGTACGAAAATGAATTTCACCCACCTTTTTACTCTGTAAATTTGTGATGTGACAATAAACCTGATTCTGATTCTAAGGACCTAAAGTGTCTACCAAGAGGAGAGCGAGGAGGGGTGTGGACCAGCGTTGAGGCACTGCTGCGAAAAGAACCAGACAGAGCCACTCCAGAACCCACAGAGGAGCCAGCAAGGAAGAGGAGCCTCCTGCAGTTTAATTCAGACTCTGAATCAGAGGATGAAGAAGGGCCCAACGGGGCTCTGGGCCGCTACAGGGCAGAGCCCACCATCAGTGAGACAGACTGCCCACTGCAGTGGTGGTCCACTCATGAGGGGGCCCATCCACAGCTTTCTGCCCTGGCCCGCAAGTATCTGGGCAGCCCTGCCACTTCTGTCCCTTGCGAGAGACTTTTCTCACTGGCAGGTAACATAGTTCAAAAGAAGAGGGCAGCCTTGAGCTCTGAAAATGTGAACAGGCTAGTTTGTCTCAGCAACTGGCTGAAAGAGAAGAAGCAGAAGAAGTAGTCTTGGAGGTATCCTGAGGCCAATGGGCTTGATACTGAAATGTTGATCAAACAGTGGCCTATGCAACAGAGATTTTATTTTTCATCAGGATATTGGAAGAATAGGAGGGATTGAGGTCAATCACTGGCACTTTTTATTTTATTTTAAATGGTACACTTTATGTTCAACTATTTATTATGGTGTTGGTGCAACTGGCACTTTATGTTGAACTGTTTATTGTTTTGGCCAAGGTTATTGAGAGAGTTGGACTGAAATTGATTCGATTTTTTAAATCAACTGTTGGTAAATCAACAAAGTCTGTTATGGCCTCTGAAGCAACAGAGAGATGTTTTCTAATAGTCAGGGTTTCCAATGTTCTGAATGTACTTGAAAGTATTGTGTTTTACTTCAAAAACAAAGTGTTATAGTTTACAGAAGGTCTACCTACCTATAGGCTACCTGAATCTCTGAAATGTACTATATTCCTAAATATGCTATTGCTACACTTTATGGCAACAATTGCACTTTTCTGTTGGTCTTGGTTAAGTACCACCTTGAAAAAAAATAAACAATGTTTTGTTGCTTAAGCTTATGTATTCAGTCATTATTCAATGGTATACTAAAATCCATGTGAAAAAAAATTGCTTCTCACTGTTCTCAGGTCAAATATTTATATGTGATTAAAAATGCGATTAATTTCGATTAATTAATTACAAAGCCTCTAATTAATTAGATACATTTTTTTAATCGAGTCCCGGCCCTAATTTAAATGTATTTGTACAGATTTTTTAACGCACAATGATGAACAGTGCAATTAGCCTTCTATTGGAGAGCACAGCTAAAGGCTAAACGTTACGTATAGAGGGTTAAATTACTCAGTGTTTTATTTGACTGGTTAAGCTACTGAACAGTTTTATTCTGAAGCAAAATAAGTTGAGTTTTGTAAGGTATTTGATATCATGTGTATAGTTAATCATATAACAGAGACATAACATTGGGTCAAGTTACACTGTATAGTGTGTATGTTTGCCTTTTATATAAAAATGATCTTAAATCAATGAAAAACATAAACCTGTGTTTTTAGATACAATATCTGTTTTTGTCTTTTGTCAGTCAAATGGATAGGTAAGATTTGGGCTATAATGTAATGAGAATTTACTGAGAAACTCTTGTCATGAAGCAGTGTTTGAATCAACCTTAGTCATGGGTTTGTTTCAAAAACATACATTTCAATATTCCTTTAACACTTGTCATATCTTAGTCATTCCAGGCAAAACTCATTTTAATTATAAACTCAAATCCCCGGCGTGCCTTTTTATGCATTTGGGCCCATTCCCCTCTGACATCCTCTGCACGTGCCTGTTCAAATGTATATGTCGGGTTGAAAGTGAAAGAAGTATACAGACTGCTTTAAGAGAGAGTTGTTGAGCTGCCGTCAGATTAACAAGATTATGATGACGAGCAGTAAATAGATTAGTAAAAAAAAAGTTCAAATGAAATTCACACCTGTCTCCACAAACTTCAAAGCTCTTGACACGAGAAGCACTTACTGCTTAAAGTGCTATTCACATGAAAAGGTAAAAAGCAACAGGAAGCAGAGTAACAATCAGATCACTGATACCACAACACACACACTGTTCTCTGGTCGGGCTGATGCATAGTTCAAATGTGTTCTGTCAGCAACCACAACGTACGTGTGTGTGTGTGTGTGTGTGTGTGTGTGTGTGTGTGTGTGTGTGTGTGTGTGTGTGTGTGTGTGTGTGTGTGTGTGTGTGTGTGTGTGTGTGGCATACAGCTGCTGCAGAGGAAGCAGCTGAGGGAAACTGAGGTGTGTTAGTCACACTGAGCACATTCAGCTTAGAACATCAACATGATTTAAGAGGAACACTTCTACTGACTCTATATGTATTCATATCCTTAGGACCATAACATCCACCGTAATATAACTTTACAAGCCATTTAAACACAGGATAGTATAAAGAAATCGCATGCAAACAGTACAGTTTGACAAGACTTGTGTCCCTTCGATCAAGTATAGATGATATCAGGAGTGTAAATACTTGCTTTATTTAGAGCAGTGCATGCATGTTGCTGTGAATGAGCATAACTTGTGTTTTTGGGGCAGATCTTTGTGGGCCTTTTCTTTTGGCTAACATGAAAGAACATTTGAGCATACACAGCATGTTTGCAGCTGCATTTTATGGATGACTTTTTTTGCAGCCGGAGAGGAAGTTTGGGGTTTTGGTGCTCACCCTCTGACTCAGAGTCGGTCCTCACGGAAGCTGCCGATGCTGGCCTGGGTGGGCGGGGCTTTGGTGTGGGCGGGGACATCCTCTTTCTGCCAATAAACTCCACATACGTTCCCGGGAAGTCGCCTTTCTCCTGTGGACCAGAGAGAAACACATTAAGAGTTGAACAAATGGCACAATCTGACAAAAACGTGTTAACATGTTAACACCACTAGGATTTTTGAAGTGTAAAACTAAATCACCAGAAGTAAAAAAGTTAGGCTATAAACAAACCACATCACGGTCAAATTGCTGCACATCTCCACCTCTAAGCTCAAGGCGGCTAATGTTCGGCGGGATGACATTTAGTTGTTTATTTGGTCACTTATTAGCAGCTGCCGTTTTGATGACGTGTAGAAGCTTCAGACATTCACCAGTGCAGTATTCATTCACTGACATATTTGATGTCGTAGAACAAAACATGAAAATCTCTTAAACTTGTGTTAACCACAGATCTTCTTTCTCTCATCTAACAACAAACACGTTCAAAAAGACGTTGACTCCTAGATGAAAGAACAAGAAATGACAAAATGCTAACTCATTTCCGGGATTTAGCACTTATTCCCGCACCACTCTATAGCTTAACCAGTCCTCACAGTGCCTAACTTGCCCGTGTGGGGTCATACCTGGGTGGTCTCGTTGAAGCCCGGTAGCCAGCCGATCTCTGAAGGTCGCTCTTCGGCTCCGTTGCTGCAGCCGAGCGCCAGCAGCGCTCCTTTACTGACCAGCAGCATGTCTCCCACATGCAGGTCGATGTCCTCCTCCCTCTCCTTCTTGTAGTCGTACAGCGCTCTGTACTGAAAGCCCTCGGAACTCATTGTGAAGGCTGTATGGCTTTTCAATAACTAACAAAAACAGCTCTAAGTAACACGATGTATAAAAATAGGCTTTTATCCTGAGTGGATTTAATGAGGAGAATGTAGACTGAGTAAATATGGCGTTTCCATCCGTCTGTGTGTCTCTCCTGTCTCCATGTCTGCTAAAGTCCCGTCATCCCTCCAGGCCGAGCCTCAGCCGCCCGATTAGAGCATCCTCGCCGTTCATGAACAGAAGTCTCAGAAGAGGCGGCGGCCACATCTGGGGAGGCGACAAATCGACCTGTGAGAGGGGAGAGTTTAACGAGAGGCAGGAGACACATAGGACAAAACAAAGTACATCAATACAGAAGACTTGTTTCATGATAGATTCATCACTTCGGTCATTTATGGTCAGTTGCATTCCACAGGCCATAAGACTGTTAAACACCTGAACTAAGAACATTCACCTGTTTGCAACTTACTAATTATTTATCACTTGTATATAGACTCTTATGGCACTACTTCGATTCTATTTGATTGTATTTACTTGCACTATTTTATCTGTTTTATTGTGTTGCACTGTTGGAGAAGCCTGGGACCTAAAATGTTCATGGACATAACTACACTGTAGCTATGTACGAATGACAATAAAAGCCTTGAATCTTGAGACGCACAAGTCCAAATATTCTCTGGCTCCATCCTCTCCAGTATAAATATGTTCTGCTGTTTTCTATCACAGGAAATTCATCAAATCTTTGGGTTTTGGAATGATGGTCAGACAAAAGCAAGATATCTGAAGACGTGCACTCCGTCCGTTGCAGTGGCTGTCTCGGCGAGTTTTCCTTGTTTTCAGCAAGAAAAGGATTTTAGCATGACGTGTGTCAGTAAACTTGCAAACATTGCACATCACTGCATTGTGATAATGTAATATCAATACTCAAATGTGCTTGCAGCCCTGGAAAAAACTAGTGTAAACTAAAGTGTCCAATGCAATGGTCAGCCCTCAAGATTTAAAAAAGAGACTTCTTATATTACAATAATATATTACAAGTATAAAAATAATCTATGAAGATTAAAATGTGTTTTTTTATTACATTATATAATTGTCTACGTTTAATTGTTTTCCCTTGTAATTTTATATATTTGAGTAAGTTGCATTGTTGGAGGCAACCTGAAAACAAGATGTCCTTGCCTGTAGTTTGTCATTTAAATTATATTAAAAATCAATAACATATTTATGAACGTCATCATAATGTAATTAATATACAATATTAAACTAGAGCTGAAAGGATTTTCGATTATTAATATTGTAGTTGATAAACAGAAAACAAATACAAAATTAAGAAAAATAATTTAAATAATACAAAATAAAATCTGTGGTTTCTTTCTGCCTTCTGCTAAAAAATAAAACGAACTTGCTTAGAAAACAGAAAGATTGATTATATTATGTCTGATAGTTTGTTAGGTTAAATATTTTAACTTTTTATTGATCAGTAATGAAGCGCAGAAAAGATTATTAAAAAAAAAAAGTCTAACATGGAACAATATATTTCCCCCCACATAGGGCCTGGCTCATTTCGTGGCATCTGCAGGCAGTGGCAAGTCCTTCCGGCATATGCCACAGAGGCCGCTACTCTGTGGTAGCTGTGGCAAGTACTTCCGGCATATGCCACAGAGGCCGCTACTCTGTGGTAGCTGTGGCAAGTACTTCCGGCATATGCCACAGATGCCACAACTTGCCGAGGCATCTGCCGCTGCTCAACGGGAGTTGCCACAAGATGCCAGAGTAAGAGAACGTTTACGGTAGCTGCCACTCGCCTTCCGTGGCAAATGCTGCTATTTAAACCCGTATTTATCGTGTAAAATGTCGCTGTTTTGGCATGACTTTATCGAACTGATCTGTACACAGGACTGATGATCTGTGCACAGGGTTGGGTTGTAACTGAATACATGTAACAGCGTTACGTAATCAGAATACAAAAACCAAGTAGCCTAACTGTATTCAGCTCGCGTTACTTTGAAAAACAACTAATCCGAATACAGTTACTTTGGTAAACCTGAAGTGAATACATTTTGGAATACTTATTGGAATTATTGGTGGAAAAGTTTCCTCACAAAATGTATCCTAATATTCATTACCGGCAGAACTGTGTGCACAGCATGTCTGTGAGGCCCCGCCCCCGCACGCAGATGAGAGAGAGAGATCTCTTTTTAAATATATTGAAAGTTAGACACGGAGATGGTTCGATAAAACGTGCAAGATAACGTTTATGTAGCATTTCTTTATTGTCGAAATGATGACATTTCATAACTGGATCAAATCAAAGTGAATGGCCTGCTGCTGCTGAAGGCATGGGGCACATATAAGTCCTTTGCCTAATTTATAAAGTAAACCTTAGCATCTCACTAGCAGTGGCAACTGCAATCAGTTACAGCTGCCCTAAGTCTGTAGCCAAGTCTAATAACACCAGTGTACACGTTGCTGTGTCAATACAGATATGTATTTGTTAATTATTTGTCTTTACTAGTCATACACCTGGTTTATCGTAGCAATCAGTGGAAACTCCCCTCAAGAAGCGAAAATTGCCAAGGGCGTTGCAACCCTCACTCGCCAATATTTCATCATAAATATAGCACGTTTGTTTATTTTAGCAAACCATGCTCCAAGTAAAATTGAATAGAAATTATAATGTTTAAAAAAATAGAGATCGGACCATCAGTCCTGTGTACAGATCAGTTCGATAAAGTCATGCCAAAACAGCGACATTTTACACGATAAATACGGGTTTAAATAGCAGCATTTGCCACGGAAGGCGAGTGGCAGCTACCGTAAACGTTCTCTTACTCTGGCATCTTGTGGCAACTCCCGTTGAGCTGCGGCAGATGCCTCGGCAAGTTGTGGCATCTGTGGCATATGCCGGAAGGACTTGCCACAGCTACCACAGAGTAGCGGCCTCTGTGGCATATGCCGGAAGTACTTGCCACAGCTACCACAGAGTAGCGGCCTCTGTGGCATATGCCGGAAGGACTTGCCACTGCCTGCAGATGCCACGAAATGCGCTTGCTGTCTCTCCACATATGAGCTCACTCAAAAAACAAACAAAAACAAAGAGAGTGTTAAAGGGCCTTCGTTAGGTAAACAGTCCATATCAGTTCCTGTCGGGAGATTATCAGAGCAGACTACATGTAATGTCATTATTCAAATGTATACACTTATTTCAGACACATTAGTTATCCCGAAGAGATTTTTTTTTTTTTAAGTGTCGAACATTTATCACTACTTGAAATATTAAGCCTTTTATGAATGTATGCTTAATCGCATAAAACATGCTGAATTGTAAAGGGGCTTTCGTTAAGTAAACAGTAGAGTACAAATAACTGATCAGACCGGACATTGAAGGTACTTTCCAAATATCGAGTCAAAGTAAGTATTGTATTCCTGTCTATCCTCCAATATTGAGTTTGTGGTGCTAATTGTTGCCAAAAAGTGTAATAAAAGCATCAGGCATTATGAACTGAAGCGGAAACGGGAAACTACAATGCATGCCAGTGTTAGCTTAGCCTGCTAGCTTCGGTGTCAGTAGCTCCAAACGTCTCACCTTTTTTCACCAATTAAAACCTCCAGAAGAGCGAGCAGCAGTCGCCATAACGGAGGATTGAGCACAAAACGACGAACAGATATTATCGAAACTCGAAATATTCCAATATATCTATCGATTATTTCCAATAAGAAGACGCTCGTGGTTCAGCCGTCTCGTATTAAGCCTTTGGGTCGTTTAGCCAAGAGTATGTTCACTTCCGGTATAGTGTCAGAATAAAACACGATTTACGGAAATTAAATACCCAAAAGTTCTAATATAGATTTACTTAAAAGGGAAATCTTTTAAAACACCTCTACAATTCGGAACTTTGAATTGTATTATTTGTGGTGATTTTTGGTTCTATTTGATAATCTCTTTTTTTAGTATTTCATTTATTTGTCAATAAATAACATTATGCAGCTCATGTAAACTGTTATTCCTTAGATGTATTTAAATGACACATTTTACTTCTTAAAATTCGTCATAAACATGAACTGTGTAAGAGTACAGGGAGCAGAATTGACAAGTTCCAGATGTCTTTCAAAATAAAATACCACTGGCGAACATGTGATGCAAAATTAATGCGTTAGACAGCAACCTCGAGAAAATAATGTATTTAAAGGGATATAGTTTAGACATATGAACTTTATATCGGATTTTTCTCCCACAATTCTTGTTAGATCACTTTAAAATACCAAAAACGTGAATTAAACAGATTACAACCGATTATAGCTGGGCTGGGAGCTGGGAGGCAGGGCACTGATGTCACATCCGGTGACCTAGATTTTTAATGCAGTGTGCTGTACTGTCAAACAGGGGGAACCATAGCAACAAACGAGCGAGTGGGTGATGGGGGTGTAATGTATTCATGCTGTCCTCATTTATTCAGGTCTTATACAAGCAGCACTGTCTCATGTGTGTATCCGTGTGTTGTTCTGTTAGTGAAAAGCACTGGGGGTGACTCCCGTATCATGTGACTTCTGCTGCGGCTTTTCCAGAACACACTGCACATCACATGCAGTGCTGTTCATCCATACATCACTACAGACCATTCATTAAAAAATAAAATAAACCTTTATTTACATTGCAAAGTGAAGAGATATATTATTGAAAATACAATTAAAGGATCTCTTAATGAATTCATAAGCATTAAAAAACACACTGGAATTTGGCACAAAATTCAATTTTGGTTGAGGCTTCAATCCCCCTCAGTTCAGCTCAGTCATTAATGAAGTATATTTCTATGAATTATTAAAAAATCACACACTTGTACAATGTGGTCATGAAAGAAATAATGTTACATTTGAAAACAGGCAATTCAAAAATTCGTTGTGTATGTGGTTTACTAGCTTTTATGACTGAATGTATGTTGAATTGCTGATGATTTAAAAACGGTTGTGTGTTAACATGTATTGATTGATTATGGATAGTGGTTAGCATGCCCCAGTTTTGTAGAAGCAGCCAGTAATCTAAGCAATTTACTGATGTGGAAGGGTCATCAGCAAAACTTATTTTAGCCACCTTGAAACCATTTTCAAACAGTAAAGATAATATCAATAACAGTGAATTCTTTATTTCGAATATTTCCACTGCTTTACCTTATCGTCAGACAGCCCTTTCCAACTGTATCTAATTGCAATAAACGGCAACTCGTATTATGTAATAGTATCCTATTTTGTTAGTAGTACGTTAATCTACTTTAATGTAAAATAACGGATTCTGTAAAGGTATATAGTGTGTCCAATGGAAATACTGCAAAGATAGATATGTTTTTACTGTTGATAAATACTTTTTGTGTTTCTGTTTTATTATTTTTAACTCGAGACCATTATATATTGAAAGCCTTGAACTTGAACATGGGAGCTGCTGGCCTGTGTGCTCCGGTCGTTATAGTTTGTTTGTGCTGTTGAGTGACTTTTGTGTTATAACGGGTAAGTTCAGAGAGACAGCTCAGTTTCCGGCCAAAAAAGGGCTGTAACAGAAAGCTAAAGCGGTGAGATATTCTAAAGGTGTCCACATAGCGTCACCTTCTGACATCAAAGCACTGTGAGGGCTCTTGGCAGTGCCTCCACCCAGCGTTTCATCTAACAACAAAAAAGAAAACTTCTCCTACAATTTCTACAGTGACGTTACCAGTGCTTTTCTGAAAATGTCATTATTTTCCCCAACTGCACGGAAATGGCTCAGCGCTGAGGACAATGATGCTAGATGCAGAGTTTTTACATTAGACAGCAGAATTCAATTTCCACTTAAATTGATACTGATTCTTTCAAGGTGCATACAATGTGTTTTGCTGTTGGTGTGCTAGATACATATAATACACCTTGATGGAGGTCAGGTGATATCTTTAGGATTCTTCCAGCCCGAAGCTTGGAAACAATTTCAAGTCAAGTATTTCATCATTAAACAGAACTTTGATTATAAGCATATATTAATGTGTTTGCTCTTCTGGATCTCATCTGAAGCTGTACAACATCACTGGAGTCCGAGTCAGGCTGATCCACCTGTTGTGCGTCTACATGCTGAAGATGTTGTCCAGCCTGTGAACCGACAGGCGGATCCTCCCCGTCAGCTGCAGCTCGTCCTTCAGGAGACACCCCACCTGCTCCGAGTGGACCATGTCACAGAACACCCAGATCTCCGCCCGCTCCCTCTGGATGTTGGCGTTACACGTCGGAAGAGTGGAGCTCTGGACGGAGCGGTTCAGAGATCGCCACACCTGCAGGGACGAGGACAGACAGGTGGCTTGAGGTGGGAACCATGAAGCTAAATAAATACTGAGGAAAGAGAATATAAATTCACAAGATCGAAGTGATTTGTGAATGTATTCCTCTGGTTCATTCACTTATCAGTTGCATGTCATGATTCATCAATATAACCAGATTAAAACACAACTAAACAAAACGGATATCATTTACGAAAACATGACCAGTGTTCATTTTGTAGACGTCAAACTTTACATAGCATTAAAGCTTTCATACAGAACCATGGTCAGTTATGGCCAGTGCGATTGTTCAAAAGAATAATAAAGATTGGTACAAACCTTTGTTATCACAATATCTTAATTTCCTAAATGATATTCAAATTGTGTCTGTGTCTATGTTTACAATGAACGATGAGTTATGGGTGAAAGTAGAAAATCCCTCCTGATAAAGAATGTATTTCTTTTTTAATATTATTTAGTTTTTAATACCCTATTTTCTTGAATTTTAATATAACGTTAAACAGGGGATAAAAACATTAAAATTAGGGCTGTCAAGTTAACACGTTAATAACACGATAACGCAAAGAAAATTAACGCCACTAATTATTTTAACGCGATTAACGCATGTGTATTTTTTTTCCTCGGCCGCCCCGTAGTTTCAGAGCGCATCGAGTTTAAAATACCATCTACAAGCTCGTTGCTGACAGCCCCGCTCCTGCTGCCCGCTTGCAGCAGACCACACTTCCACGCTCACCGGCAGGCTATTGGGAGGACCGGGAGGGTGTGTGTATGTGTGGCCCGAGCGAGCGAGAGAGAGACCTTAGCCGCATTCACACCGCAGGACTTTCCCTGGTACTTTGATTCTTTAGTTCCGTTAGTACCAATAGCCGCTTTCACACCTCAAAAGTACCACGGCACTGAATCCGCCAGGGGGCTAGTGCCATAGCCGCATTCACACCGCAGGACTTTCCCTGAGGCAAGATTACGCTGACGTCACTTCGTCTTCTTCTTCTCTGGGTTTACTGGCAGGCCGCAAAACCACTTCACGGCGAGTACAACAAAAAACGAGAGAAGAAGAACTACACGGGGGAGGGGGTATAAAGCCCACCCGCTGTATGAGGCGTTGTTTACTTTCCGACCTCAGACATGATGGAGTTCATAAGGGTAATAAGGGTAATTTACAAATAAAATACCCCATTATAACAATGGACTTTATCTTTATGTATTTATTATATATTACCCCCTCAGGCTGATTTTGGAAAAGGACATTAACCCTTGTTTGGTGTTTGTCCCCTTATTTATTTAAACAGTGCTTCTCAAAGTGTGGTCCGCGGACCACTGGTGGTCCGTGAGCGCCCCCTAGTGGTCCGTGAGTATATTGGTAACATTTCACATTTGAAATAAATTAATTTAAGTTTTCCGCACTCTTGCGGGAATATCTCCGCAATGGAGCGAGATTAAGTTTCACTTTCGATTGCATGATATAGCCCAGATAAACACCTTCATCACACATGTGGCCACTTGTTTGTTCCATTTTCAGGCGATTTGTAAAAAACGATGTGTTTTTGGATATTTGTGGAGTTAGGTGGTCCACGAGTGTTTTTGTATTGGTTAAGTGGTCCTTGGTATGAAAAAGTTTGAGAAACACTGATCTAAAACAAATGACATGATAAATTACTTGTGTTTATGTGTGTAAGACTTGTGTTTCTGCCCCTGCCATTGCTGCACAAGGTTGCAACATTGTAGATAAATTCAACCACCGACACCTGTCTGCTCTCACATTCTTTTATTCTGCAAATTTGGGGTGGGACACAATAAATAAAGCTTCGCCAGTTTGTTTGTTTTATTGCACAGTCAAGACATAACAATAACGGCATCACGCTGTTCTATTTCGTATATGGCTTCGCCCTCTAAGGCTATCGCTATTGGGTTTACCCTTCTGCGCCCCCGCGCAGTACTGAAAACACTTGTAGTCCACGCCCACCCGCTAGGTGGGCCCCACCCTCGGGCCTCCTTCCGGTATAAATAGGGAGGTTGCCCGGCGATCTGCTCCCTCTTTTCTTCAGCAACCAGCAGTTTACTGAAGCACGAGAAAAGCAACATCATGAGCAATAAAGAGTGTGTCCGTATGTGCCCTTCGTGCAATACGGGCTACATTATGAGCTACGATTTGCATCTGATATGCGCAGCCTGTCTGGGGCCAGAGCACGCGGACGCGGCTCTCAGCCAGCAGGTCGCATGTCCTCACTGTGTGCGTCTTCCTTCATCCGACAGGAAGCGAAGGGCGGACGCTCTAGCTGCTGCGGGTGAGGAAGATGTCTGGGGTGGGCAGGAACCCATCCAGAACACACCACCATGGCTCCAGAGGAGGCGGAGGAGATCGCTAAGGCGGCCAGCACGGCGCTCTTGCTGTGCGCAGCCGTGGCGGTGTCCCAGGCGAAGATTAGCAGCCTGGATGACACAGATCCAGCGTCATCTCTGGTTACAGCAGGCAGCGGTCACAGAGCCAGCCAGGAAGGTTTTACTGGACGCTCCGATCAGCTCGGACGGGCTGTTCGGGCCCCAGTTCCTGGCCATGGTTGATTCCATGAAGGCGGCATCGGAGCAGGCGGAGGACATCCGCCAGCACGTCGGCTGGCTCCAGCCAGCGGTGAGCAGCAGCGACACCAGCGGCAGCAGCAGCAGCCAACCCGGCCACAGCGGCAGACGGACAGACACCAGCAGCAACAGCAGCCGAGGCGTCAGAATCGTCCGTCAGCGGCGGCCGGGGCACCGGCCCACACCTCCAGGGCACCGTCCCGCACCTACGGGCCCCCACCAGAGGGGGGTAAAAAGGGAGTGAGATACTCCCGTTCGGCGTCTGCTCCATGAGAGCCGCCGAGGAGACAGAGCGGCCTTGACGGTTTGGGAGGGAGTGTGAGGAAAATAAAAATAAGCTTATTTTCCAACATGTTGGCTGAGTCATCAGTTTCAAATGTGTTTCACATATCCCCCACTCTGGGTAAACCAGCTGCCTATGACCTATCGGTTAATAGCCAGCAGGATTCGTTACAAAAGCCTGCGCATTTTAATCTATCGATTAATAAGCTGCGGAGCACAGTAACTATACCAGCTGCCTTCAATCTGGTGATTAGTAGGCAGCATGGTTCGCTGCAGGGTTCTGGTGGTTATAACTTTCGGTTATTAAACCACAGACCTCGCGGCATTCCTCTATCCGAGATACGCCACCTACACACGGTGACAATAAGCCCATGAGCGCCGTGGTAACGCCTCATGTGGTTATCACTGCACACACCTCCACCCATCCTCTGAGCGTGTACGCGCATCATGATGAGAGGCGGAGTAAATGCAACGTGTGGAGGCCTCCTCACAGCCTTTTCGCTAGGCCCAAAGAAATGGGTTGCCTCACGGGGCCTCCGCCCCCCCCCCCCACCAGGAGAGGGGGGGTAAAAAGGGAGTGAGGTACTCCCGTTCGGCGTCTGCTCCATGAGAGCCGCCGAGGAAGCAGAGCGGCCTTGACGGTTGGGGAGGCAGTGTGAGGAAAATAAAAGAAGATTATTTCCCAACATGTTGGCTGAGTCATCAGTTTCAAATGTGTTTCACATATCCCCCACTCGGGCCGGTGAGCCAGCTGCCATGACCTATCGGTTAATAGCCAGCCGGGTTCGGTACAAAAGCCTGCGCTATTTAATCTATCGATTAATAAGCTGCGGAGCACATTAATTACACCAGCTGCCTTCAATCTGGTGATTAGTAGGCAGCATGGTTCGCTGCAGGGTTCTGGTGGTTATGACTCTTCGGTTATTAAACCACAGACCTCGCGGCATTCTTCTGTCCGAGATACGCCACCTATACACGGTCATAATAAGCCCAGGAGCGCAGTGTTAACGCCTCATGTGGATATTACTGCACACACCTCCATCCATCCTCTGAGCGTGTACACGTCTCATGATGCGAGGCGGAGTGATACGCAGCGTGTGGAGGCCTCCGCACAGCCCTTTCGCTCTAGGCCCACCTTGGGATGCCTCACGGGCAGCGGCGGCGAGGGCTCTGGCGTGGCTCGTCGTCATGACAACCACAACACATCTCGAGCATGCGTGCCCGCTGTCAGAGTGTTTCTCGGCGTGGCAGCGCATGTGTTTGATGGACGGATGGATGCACAGGCTGATCAGCAGGGTACACCCTGCAGTTCGCCTCCCCCACAGTTCAACGGGATACAGGTGACATGCCTAACATTACATTACATTGCATTTAGCTGACGCTTTTATCCAAAGCGACTTACAATAAGTACATTCGACCAGGAAGACACAACCTTGAAGAAAACAGAATCATATAAGTACATCAGGTTTCATAGAGCCAAACATTTCAAGTGCTACTCAACTGGCTTTAGATAAGCCAGTCCTTTATTAGTATATAAGTGCTTTGGTAATAGTTCTATCACTTGAAGTGGAGTCGAAAGAGATGAGTTTTCAGTCTGCGCCGGAAGATGTGCAAGCTATCTGCTGTCCTGATGTCAATGGGGAGCTCATTCCACCATCTTGGAGCCAGGATAGCAAACCCACGTGTTTTTGCCGATGGGAACTTGGGTCCCCCTCGCAGCGAGGGCGCAGCGAGTCGTTTGGCTGATGCAGAGCGTAGTGCACGCGCTGGGGTGTACGGTTTAACCATGTCCTGGATGTACGAAGGGCCAGATCCATTCGCAGCATGGTAAGCAAGTACCAGTGTCTTGAAGTGGATTCTAGCAGTTACCGGAAGCCAGTGAAGGGAGCGGAGGAGCGGAGTGGTGTGGGAAAATTTAGGAAGGTTGAAGACCAGACGAGCCGCTGCATTCTGGATGAGCTGCAGAGGTCGGATGGCACATGCAGGTAGACCAGCCAGGAGGGAGTTGCAGTAGTCTAGGCGTGAGATGACGAGAGCCTGGACCAGAACCTGAGTCGCTTTCTGTGTCAGCTGGGGACGTATCTTCCTGATGTTGTAAAGCGTGTATCTGCAGCAACGGGTTGTAGCAGCGATGT